GAATAAAATAGAAATGTGATGTCGGCGGGGCGGGCGCGCCGCGTTTTACGAGCAAACGTGGTTGTTCTCTGAAAACATTCGTACTCGCGTATTACTTTAGCCGGCACCAAAACGACGCAGCTCCAAAAAAAATTTATCGCTATGCTCGATAATTGCGTGCCGAAAACGAAGCCAGGACTGGAATTTGTCCAAGTGCAACATATCATAGGTAAGTCTAAAAACTTTTGTTTTTAAGTAATATTGACAAAAAATCACAAAGTATTATGTAATACAAGATAGAAAATCGTTATGATCTAATCTATTAAAACAATCATACATTGCATATCAAATTCGACTACTAACCACATTATGACCGCGAGAGCACACAATGAACCACATTCCCTGCAGGACTTTTTCGATACTTTTCTCCCGAAAATATTCAGTAAAGTCACAGTTCATATGGCTTGCAATAGCGAATATTATAGTTATCGATGATTTTTGTTTTTACAATGATTTTCTGTTTAGTACCTATTTTTTTTTGTATTATGATTTTTAACCGACAGTAAAAAAAGCTTTTGATTGTTCGCATATTTTTTTTATTGAACGTATTTTGGAGATATTCTTGATCATAACATTAGTTTTGACGAAAAATGAAATGACCAACTGACCAACTAAGGTGTGTAAATAAAATCGGATGCTTATGAAAGTCTTACACCAGTTAGTAGGTAGTAACTTATTTATTTAATTATCATCAAGTAGGTGAATACCCATCATCAAATCATTTATCCGACTTAATGCGATATGCTTATAAATATTCGAATGCATTTTATTTAAAAAAAATATAATGTACATAAAGACATAAAACGGAAATCATACATTTTATTTCAGGTGTAATAAATATTTTAAGTTCATTATATTTCAATTACTGTTTTATATTAATTATTATATTTTTCATCATCACTATTTTATAAATACATCAAAATACATATTGTATATTTACAATCGTATATTTACTTACGATACTAATTATTAAAACATAATACCAATTTTTAAATAAGAGTCATTTTCATTGTAGTTAGTTTATGGATTCCATAAACGCCCAGCTACAATGAAAATGATATGGAATAAAAATTGATAGAACGCCCTGGGCCCTGTTTTATGAAGCTGACATTTCGATATATGTCAAAAAGTGACAAAATTGTCGAATTGTCGCGATTAGGGTGTTTAAAAAAAGTGACAAATATGTCAAAATTCGACAGGCATATTCTTGACATTTTTGTCATTTATAAATCGTTTACTAAAACTCGACATATGACAAAAAACCACAGTCAAATTATTACTGACAATGGTTGGTGACTATTAAGTCGACTTTTGACATGTTTGCAAATAAATATGTTTTCTGTAGCTAAATGAGGGTAAAATAGAAAACATATTAACAGAGTAAAAGAATGAATCAATCACTAGTGTAGCTCCGATTGTTTGTTTTAAAATCTCGTGTAAAATGGAAATGCACAAAAAAATTACCATTTTGGGCCTTATTTTCGAAAATAGGAATATACTCTTTGGGAAGTTTAGTGACGAATTGACCCACGATACAAAAATAAAAAAATGGAAGGAAATAATAGAACAAATAACAGCATTGGGTATTTTCAACAAAGACTGGAAATAACTTCGCGACGCTACATGGCAAAATTGGCACAAAAGGACCATGGTAAGGTTTAGTATATTTTAACTAGTTTATACGTCATCAATTCGTAATTTGTCTAGACCGTTACCCAACTTTAAATAAAGGAGTTATCAATTAGATATGTATTTTATTGTGTAGGTATGTATGAAATATTCTATGAGTGCCTCGGTAGCGCAGTGATAGCGTATGCGAGTACTGTGCTGAGGTCTCGGGTTCGATGCCCGGTCGGACCAAATGTTTGTATGATCAACAAATATTTGTTTCGGAGTTGGGGTGTTTTCTATTTATAATATGTATGTATTTACAAAAAAAGTATTTAAGTATTCCATCAGTCAATCTATCTTTGATAGTACAAGCTCTGCTTAGTTTGAAACTAGATGGACTGGACTGGACGTTGTGTATCAGATATCCGAAATATTATTCGCATTGTGTTTGTGGAAACGATTTTTTTTCACTTTGTTTGATTTAAAACTTAAACAGAAAAATATCAGATTGTCGCGACAATCCGACATATTTGTCAATTTTCCACCACGACAATTTTGTCGCCTGTAAGTTTGATAAAACAGAAAAATTGTCGAATTGTCACTTTTTGACATATGTCGGACTTGTCGGATTGTCAGCTTCATAAAAGAGGGCCCTGGTATTTCCAATCTCAAGTTTTGACATTTGCAAGTACATAGATTTGATTGATTCGTTTGTATAGAGCTAAGTGATTCATGTAAATCCACACTAACAGGCTTCGTAGCTTTGTAGTGACTAAGGAAAAATCACAAAAAAATTGGCTGATGCAAACATTCCTAAAATATTTGTTGAATAGTGTTACCATTTAAGCTACGAAGTCAATAGAGCAGGAAAATTTTATAAATAATTACTATATTAGTTGTCAAGTCAAAAAACTTAAAATTCTAACTTCTACTTTAGACCAATGTTTTTACTTTACAACACAAAACACAATTATAAGTTTACAATCTCCTAAGTTTGCAATTGCTTAAAAGATTAAAAGCACGGGGGATTCCCCCATCATAGACCTGTGGAGCGAGTGCGTACAAGAATTTAATGTTAGTACGTTAGTTTGACGAAACAAAATCATTTTATCACTTCCATCGAAGTTTTGTTGCAGTTCGCATAGTTTAAGGTTAATATTAGCATTGATTGTTAAATGAGTTAAAACACTAGTGTGGTGACGTTTAAAAAATTTAAACAGTCAATTATTTTAAAGAATTTGAAAATACCGAATAATTTTTAAACAATGACTTTGATGAAAAATCGGGAATCATGACTGACACTGGCACTATCAAAGAATTTCGCAACGTTTGCTAACCAAAAACGTATCTAAAACTAAATAAATAACTTTCGATCTCAACTGTCATGAAATATATTTTCGTACGTGCTTGTACTATGGTAACCACACTGCTGGTAAACATGCATATACATTTCAAGAAATAGGATAGATGACCGTGCTCATCACAATTATTTTGTACTGGGTCGTAGGAATCAAACCCACATCTTCTGGTGTAGCGGTCAGGGTAGACCAAAAGGGCCAGTCAAATAAAGTGTAATGAGATATTTATGATGATCTATTTATTAGATTTGATTTTTTATGAGCTTATTTACACACGAATGTTTTCCTTCTAATCCATTAAAGAGGATTTTGAATGTATGCAAGGAAAAAACAGTTCAGTAACTTCTAAACGGTCAAATGTACGTATAGTAACGACAGCCATAGATAAGTTGTAGAAAGATATGTAGTCTCTTCACAATCTCTATGTCCAAACTATGCTTTGTTATTTTCCTATTTCACAGTAAAATATCACGTATTTAGTACTTATCCTTATGCCCATCTTCGACCCATAATAAATTAGTATTAAAAGTCTAAGAAGCTGTTATAGAAAAGATACGATTAAACAACCGATGTTTCTAAGCTGGCAACTATTTTCATGTTAATAACTTGATTCCCATATCTGATGCCATTAACTTGATTGCCATATCTGTGGTAATGAAAAAAAAAATAGTACAGGAGGTATATAGGCTGACTAAAACGTCACAAAATAAGAAGCCCGTTTTGACGTTTCTCATTTGACATGCCGCGATAACTTTGTATGAACGTCTTTGTAAGAAATTGAAAAATCAAATTCATAATCCTATTTAATTACTATGTTACCCATACACTATCACAACGCGTATCATAAATAAGCATCAAGTTTAACTTTATATTGAAAAAATGCACTCAAAAACACGAATTAATCGTTGATTAATATTCCGACAGGACTTTACTACAATGTCATGTCTTTGGGTTGGTTGCCGTAGTGTTGTAACCGTTAAAAAGCCGTTTTATGGCCGAATCAAATAGTTTCTGAAAATCGTTTACAAAAATTACATTAAAAAAAGAGATAAATGTGTAATTAGTGTATTATTTAATATTTAAACATATAAAAACAAAATCTGATTTTGATATTTAATTTGAATATTTTAATATTATACTAAATGATTTGGTTAAAAAACCCAGAGTGGACTCCGGGTTTTTTAACCAAATCATTTCATCATGATATTGAAAAAAAAGTCCTCATTTTTCTGCCTCAAACGTCATGTCATTTTGCAACAGTCACATTTGACAACAGTCCTTAAAAATCAGTTTATAAAAGAATTATCAAAGCCGTACATAATTTGACCTTGGCTCTTCTATTCCAGACATTGATTAGACATAGCGTGTTTGTTGTTATATTGTACAAACTCTGTTTCAACATGTCGAAAAGAGGACGTACAATCAACAGCCAATCACGCGAATTGGTTGTAAAGTTAACCGAATACTTCGAACGCGAATCAGTTAATGGTGGACCATTATTACCTGTAACTCAAGTGCAAGATCGCGTAGCAGAAGCACTTGGAATCGGCAAAAAATGTCATCAGAAGAAAATGATTGATTTCACTTTTCGTGATTTTGTTGTGATTGAGCTAAATTTTTAAATTAAAGACAAATTGACATTTCTTTCCATTGTATCATTTCAAATTGCCTATAACATTAAAGTTTAAGTTATATGTTCTTATTATAATTTAAATCCAATGCACTTTGTGATATATAGTCAAATCAATCAAATACTCTACAAGCTTGAATCGATTTATCGTAAGTATCATGCACCGAGTCGTATGGTTAATCACTAGTTACGCCACCATGACCAATGTCAAAACGGGCTTCTTATTTTGTAACGACTGTAATATATAGTTATCTGTGGTATATAGTTGAGTGTGACAGGTGATAAATAAATGTGTTGCTCTTAAAATTTGAGGTTACGTTAGTTTGATTTTTGGGACTTCTTATTTTTAACATTAATTAAAAATGCAGCACGATGACGTAAGTATGATTAATAATAAATGTATGGCTGAAACTATTAAGGTATGTTAATGTAACAAATATTATTTGTTTTAGGTTGTGTGGGCTATCATCAACAAAACACATTGCTCCCATAAAGTAACGTGAGTATAACTACGATGTAACAGGCAATAACACATTCCTCATTAATTGAAAAATAATACTGGTTCGTTTTTACAGCACAAAAACCCAACATTTTTGTCGGAATGAATTTAACCTCACTGGTCTATGCAGTCGGGCGTCTTGTCCCCTCGCTAACAGCAAGTATGCCACAATCAGGGAAGAGAATGGTATTATTTACTTGTATATGAAGACAGCTGAAAGGTATGATTCCCTGTAGACTAAAATAACTACTAAATGTTCTTTATTCAGGAGCTTAACCACAATTGTTCCAAAACATGTAAGCAAAGACAACTAATTTGTTATATTTTCAACTGTTTGATGTACAAATAAAAAATCATTGCTGAGATTGCTAAAATTCACTATGTACTATGTTCATCTGGCAATAACTAGAAGACTCTCTATTCTAGAAATATAAATCTTTTTATTCATATCTTATTTAACAGTTAAATTAAAATTTTAATACTTTGTGTTTAATAATCTCTATTATTCAGTTATTACACAAATTTTATTGGAGTATCAAACTATAATACATAATTTTAATAAAATATATAATATTATAGAAAATTCTTAGGTATCCACCAAATAAAAAAAAGTGTATCACTATTGACACATGTTGAGACCTGAGAATTTCTGGACTGATTTTTTCATTTTTAAAATGCTTTACAAATACATAACAAAAAATGCTACTTATTTGGAGAAATGGCCTTAACAATTCTAAATTTGAGAAATACTGAATTGTTAATACTAGACAAAGGAAACTAATATAATATAATTATTATTTATTGGGTACAACAATGGGTAAAAAATTAAATCCAATATTTGAAAAGTTGGACAGTTGAAATGGATGAATGGATGGATACTAGGATTTTTAGTAAATTTAAAAAGTAAGTCTTATGTAGTTTAACTTTATGTTATTAATGTATACTTTTATAGGGTCATGTTTCCTGCCAAGCAATGGGAGAAAGTTAAACTGTCAAGAAATTTTGAAAAGGCCATATATCAAATAAATGAAAATCTTTTATACTGGCCTGCTTTCATTAAAGCAAAATGTAAACAGAGATTTGTCAAAATAACACAGTACCTAATACGAATGAGAAAACTTAAATTAAGAAGAGTGTAAGTATTTTTTTACATATTGTTTAAATATGCTAAGAGAAGTTTTAGTTCTTTAAAGGTATAGATCACTCGTAACACATGTTTTATATTTGAGCTTCATAAGTAGCCTAATGGTGCCTTCCTTCTGATTTCCTTATGAACTGTGGCATTGCGATTGGCAGTGTTAAGGGGGCCTAATGCGACTGTTATTACACACCAATTTGATCTCTACAGTGACTGTGACTACAGTGACTTCAGCATTAAAATCTTCACCAATTGCAACTCCGAACACAGTCACTTTGACTATTGAGTAGATATGAAATAAACTCACACTAGTGCTGCTAGCCCATAGATTGTGTTAATTCCATTAAAGTTTAAGTTTAAATTCCCTACTGTATATAAGACCTATTATATCTTCTAATATATAAAAATATTGTTTCACAGTGTTATCAATCTCCTTTTGATTGACCTTTTTTTTTGTGTATGTAGGTAGGTCCGAGAATAGGTTGTAAGGTATTTTTTATGCCCCTATATGGTAAGGGTGACCCTCCCAAAATTTTTGTTATATTGTAAATGTAAAAAAGTTAATAAAGTAGATTGAATTAAGAAAATGAATCTCCTCTTTTAGTAATAGACTCTATCCCCACATATTTACAAAAAGTTAGTTATTTTTTATTTGAATATTCACTAGAAATAATTAATATGGCAAAACAATGTTTGCCAGGTCTACTAGTAATACATAAGTTTGACTTCTACCTAATCTTTTACCATTTCAGGAAAGAACTAGTTCCAATACAGCGTAAGATTGAAAGAAGAGAAAGAAGACGTGAAGAGAAAGCATTGGTTGCTGCTAGAATAGACAATGCAATTGAGAAACAATTGCTTGACAGACTGAAGAAAGGCACTGTGAGTATACATTTTATAAATAATTGTAAAACACTGTTGTCTGGTATTCAATATTCATCTTACACCCCTTGAGTTCTTTTTTTTATGTCATTTAGTAATTTTTAACTACTCTAGGATAAACTCCATGCTTCCCTCCCAACCACTCTAGTCAACAACTGAGGTTGTATCTTTAAGCTTTAATAACAATTGGACAAGTATCTCTGTATGGTTTAGAAATTATTATTATAATAATAATATTAATTTATATTACAGTATAATGATATTTACAACTTCCCACAAATGGCATTTGATGCTGCTCTTAAAGCAGAAGAGATATCAAGTGAGAGTGAGAAAGAAGATGAAGAAGAAGAAGAAGAAATAGAGAGAGAAATGGAACCAGAGTTAGAAAGGGAGTTAGAGAGAACTGTTGAGCAAACAGATGAGTTTGTTGAAGCAGACAGTGATATGGATACTGATGAGGTGAGTTTATTATTTAATAGTGTGAGCATGAAACTTGATTTTTAGGGAAACCGATAGCAGGAGTCTACCAATATCTTTTCTGCATGCAAAGGCTTTCGCTTTTCGCAAACAACAGGAAGATTATAGTTTAATGAACAGGTATATGATTACAATGCATGATGTTCACAATGAAAATAAGAAAAACTTTATAATAGATAGTTAATTGAAGATAAACTATCAAAATAAGTGCCAGTCAAGTATAATATGTACATAATAATGGACATAAATTATTTAATAAGGACATTTGTTTAAATATATTTTATTTAAACATCATTCATCATCATGGCTATCAAGTCTAGTTATGAAATAGTCATCATTTTATTATTGTTGCATTAAATACACTTCTTTAGTGTTGCATAATAGGAAATAGTAGCAACGTAATAGCAAGAATTACGAATTAAAAAATTGAAATACATAAAGAAAGAAATATTTCGTACAATTAATACACAACGCCATCTAGTTTCAAACTAAACAGAGCTTGTATTATGAAAGTTAGAATTACAGATATTTAATTTTTTTTTTGTAAATATGTACATATTAAATAAAGAAAACACCCAAATTCCGCAACAAATATTTACAGATCATACAAACATTTTTGTTCTGACACGGGAATCAAACCTAAGACTGCTAGCCCAGTCTCAGCACAGCATCGCTACCACTGCACCACTGAGGCAGTCAAATGAATAATGAAATTTGAATAGGGTATAATGAAAACAGGGGAGATGGGGTAAATTGTGTTGAGCAGACTGAGTTGTTATAAAAGAGATACTTACCTTTTTTATCATTGTTACAGGAAAGTGATTCAGGCAAAAAAGAGGATGCATATGTTGCTAGTGATTTTGAATCTGAGACGTCCGATATTGAGGTAATTACAACAAATACGAGTATTATCTTAATTATGAACAAAAATGATATAACTAGTTCTGACTAACTGACTGAGGGTTTGAATATAAGAGGTAATCTGTATTATGAAACTCACTGAGGGTTTGAATATAAGAGGTAATCTGTATTATATAAATGACTCCTAATGTATTCCACATATGTGAAGTAAAGTTTCAAATCGCTTTAATAAAGTCTAAAAAATTAGATTAGATTAGTATATAGATTTGTACATGAAATACATAATTTATTAAAATTAAGTACAATAAACACAATAATACGCAATTAACAACATTTCTCACTGACATTAGCTGGTACTGTTTTTTATTATTCGGCGTTGTTTGCTCGCTGTTTCGTAGAACTAGAATTAGTCAGCAGGTATTAGTAGAATGAGAATATTATCTCATATAAATTAAATTTCTAAAAGTTTTGTGTATAACGGGAATAATCTCGTAATAGCTTGACTGTCTGGACACCCCTCCGGATTGTTCTCTAACATTCTGGAATATTCAATTATTTTTTTTGGACCATTCAATTAGTTCCACGTGCCTCAACTTGAGGCGACCGTAACAATATGATCTTCGAAACTACTAGAGATACACAACATGTTTAGGTTAAAATGGAATTTGAAGGTTTATAACAGAGAGAGAGAAAGAGAACCATACTTTAATGAATTAATTTACTACTGCATACATTTAAATTTTCAGGACATTGCTGAAAAGACAGCTCAGAAGAAGAAGCCGCGGGTAGAGATCGAGTATGAAACGGAGCCCATTGCCAGTCTGTCTAGAAAAAAAATTAAACATTGATTTCATTATTTATGTCAGTAGTTTTTATTTTACCCTTTCAAATAAAAACCAAACTATCCAAGTCGGTTAATAAAAGACGTAGCTCAGAGGCCCTAGTGTCAGTTTATTTCACATCACTCGCTCTCGAGGGCCAGCGCGTTCGGCGTTGCGATTGGTGAAGATTTCAGTGCTGGCCAGTCGCACCGCCGAACATGGTGACCGTGACGATCAAGCAGATGTGTGAAGGTAACAAACATTGTTAAAACGTCGACGTGTATCCAGTGTGACACTTGACGCCATTCATTCTCCAACAATCAAGGGCCGTGAATGAATCTAGTCAGCATATCCTAAATACACACTTGTGAGTTATAAATAACGTTAGATTCTAAATAAGTTCAAATAGAAAAAAGTAAAACATTTCTCAATTATTTATTTTTATAAAAACGTGACACAAATGCTTAAAAAAAAAAAAAATATTTTAATGTTGAAAGCTTACCAGGCTGCCACCAGTAGTCAAATAAATAATGAAAACAAACCACCGGCATTAAAGTTAACAATAATAATGCAATAATATGCATAATGGAAGTTTTTTCTTGAAAGATGTTAATAAAAGCAGTATTATATTTAACTAGTCCTGCATTGACATTCAGCGGTATTCATACATTTGCCAAGTTTGTAATGGAGTGCTGTGCAAGCTGCATCACACGCAGTTTCTTCGCACGCTCTCAAAACCATCGGGATGAATAGAGAATCTGGTGTTCGTTTTGAGTTTATCTTGGGTTTTGCTGTAATCAAATTATTCTTGTACATTTTGAACGCATCTGATAGTAGAGATTTCTACAATGTCTTCGGATCAAACGCAATCGTATATTTTTATTTGTAAGCGTATTTTTCACAGTCAGTCATAAAGGCGACGAAGCACTAGATAAGAATTTTTTAGACATTATTTAATGTTCTTCGCCGTTTGCTTAGCAATTTCGAGGAAAGCCAATATAATATCTTCTGGCAAGATCTTTTAGAGTTGATGTAGACTGGACTTATTTTTAGTGTTTTTTTCCAGTGCCTACTATTATTGCTTTTTCCTATGACGGATTAGGAGGTTTATAAGATTATTACAAATAATGGACAGAATAAACTATCAATAATTTTTGGCATTCCCAACTGGGCAGCATTACTCACACTCCTAGAATTTGTTACAGCAATATTATAACATAAGCATGTCCTCGTTATTTCTGGACTAACGATTTTAAAGAGCTGGTTGTTTGAAGATAGTAAACATTTCTATTACTAGCGACTATCTAGTTAAGATTAATTTATGTACTAGCTGAAACCCGCGGTGTTACCCGCGTTTGTTGTTATAACCGCGGGCAACGCCGCGGGACGAAGCTAGTCTAAAAAAGTAGCCTAAGTTACTCCTTATGTCATCAGCTATCTGCCAGTGAAAGTCCCGTCGAAATCGGTCCAGCCGTTCCAGAGATTACCGGATTACGGAACAAACAGACAGACAGACAGACAGACAAGAATTGTAAAAAATGTTATTTTGGCATATGTACCGTGTAAACATACATATGCATTTGGTAAAAAGCGGTTATTTTAATATTACAAACAGACACTCCAATTTTATTTATTTCTATAGAAGAAACATTTTAGTTCAAACTCATTCCATACCACGTCAGCGGCATAAAAGCATACACCACGCCTGATGCGGTTACCGTAGTCTGTAAATACCTTCAACTCCTGGGGATTTACCTTAACTTACCATCACAGAACGCATTCTGCTGATGTTCAATATATTCTTGTTTTGCGTCACTTAAGAAAAAGTTGCTGGATGCTGCATCTGCAAGCTGCAGAACGAGTAGAACTGCGGAGACTACAACGAAAAGCTTCATATTCACAAGACACTTGCGGCACAGGACTAAACTCTGAAATGACAGATGATAATATACGTAATAATATATGAAATATAAAGTGTCGCAGGAGCATCACTAATCCAGGTATTGCGCCTTTGTGAACATTGTAAAGAATTATTGGGTAGGTATAATATTTGGATACTAAGTAATGCGGTGTAGGTAGTATTTCTTTAGAGCAATATTTCTTAAACCGTACTATAATCAGACAGGGGTCAATGTTCATCAAGGCCGTCTTTAGCCGGTTGGTGGCCCTAGGCACATTAGGGTAATGGGGCCCCTAGCCCCTTTGGCCTTGACTAAGCAATATTTAGCCTGAATAGACACAGAAAATGTTATAGGTTGTAAGTCATTGTAGCCGGTTTTTTTTTAAATTAATATGTTTTCGGTAATAAATATCGATTATTTAATGGTGATCCGGCAGGAATTCGGGGCCCTTATCGATCAAGGAGCTCTGGGCACGTGTTCAGAGTGCCCCGTGGGAAAGAGTGGCCTGATCATATTGATGATGTTCTCAAAAAATGCAGGTCAGAAGTACCGTAAATTTACAAGCTCGTATTCAAATTGTAATAAGAAGTTCTTAAGATTTATTAGATTAGAAGCAAGCGATATCTAGTCTACATAACCTGAAGGAAGAAAGGAGTGAGAGCATGTCCAAATGTATAATCTTATTTACATAGGTACTAAGCAAGTATTTGACCAAGATTATTCACTTTCTTGTTTATTTCTGTAATGTTCTTTAAAAAAAATCTGATTACCTTACGTAACGTGGTACTTTAATATGTAAAGTTTCTGTTGATCTATAGGTTTGTGTCATAATCAATTGTCAAAATAAACTACTAAATATAAACAAACGTAAGTGTACTATAAAGGTTGGTAATTTGATTATTGATTGGATTGATGGATGTAGGTATGTTAGCTGAACGGATATGTCTGCACATTGGCTATTTTTTATCCCATAAAAGTTGCTCACAAAATCGAAAATCGGTTCCACTAGTTGATACCTGAACTATTTATAATATGTACGTACCGTACATATTATAAATAGTTCAGGTATCAACTATAGCAGTTTATTCCGAGCTTTGCCCCAAATTCAGTTTCCAAAACCTATAATTACTTTTATTATTGTGTTTTATATGTGAAATTGTACCTCGATGATTAATTACGTACTTTAAATAAAGACCTTATTTTTAGAATTTAACTCACTGGGCATGGTTGTTTCGGTGAGTACCTGAATCGGATTGGACGCGAGGAGACGGCACATTGCAAGCACTGCGCAGCCGACTGGTACTCCGCCCAGTATACGCTCGAAGACTGCCCCCCGTGGGCGTTAGAACGCGAGGTCCTGGTCGACCGTCCCCGCCAGCAATCATTGCTGCCATGCTGGCGGGTGAGGAGGGCTGGGGCGCAGTGGTTTCTTTCTATGAAGCTGTAAAATGCTCGAGAAAGAGACCGCTGAACGGTGAGGACGTCGGCGGTGTTAACAGCCGTCGACGGGGCCGCAGATTGCCAGAGGGTGGGGACGTCTGGTGGCAGATTAATTGCTGCGGTAGGCAATAGGATGGCGGCCCGACAGGGCCTGGCTAGGCCTGGCGTCGATCCGGGGGGGGGGGGGGGACCTGAAATAACATGGTCCGGGTCCTCCTCAGAGCAGGGCGCCTGAGATCGACTGTCGGGGTGGTTTTTATTAGAAACAACACATACTCCTGGCTCCTGCGTCCCCGAGGAGCTGGAGGACATTCCACCCCGTCAACAAAAAAAAAGGTTCATGAATGTGGGCTTGCGGGGCATGTTAGCAAATGGCCCATCGTCTGTGGAGACGCACCACCTTGACATGTTATTCTCGGATCTACTAACCTGGGCACGCAGCCTATTCGATTTGGCATCGCCTTCCAGGTTGGCCAGGGGAATTTATCTCCTGGAGGTTCTTTTTAAACTGAATAGAACGCAACGAATTGGAGGAGGAGGATTGGGCCTCCAGTAATTTTGGGGGATGCCTCCTGATGCGACACACCTGTGTCTCTTCTCATGCAGGTGTTCATTGGCGGCCGTAGTCACCTTCCATTAAGTGACGAGTCTGCTCGTTTTGGTTCATTTCGGCATCGCAACCAAAAGTAGGTTAAAATGTACCTCCATTTACACTGAAGTGTGTTTTAAAATGTACTATTCAATATTTCGATATACCTTTTATTATACTCGTACCATAATTGATATGAGGCTGATGCAACATATATGAGGGGCTACTCAGGCGTTGCTTCAAAGCACCGTGACAGCCATGTGCGTTAAATGCATTGGCATGCAATTTCATTTTCTTTTTCCTCTTAACCCTTATCTCTTAAACGTTACAGATCAGTTAATACAGAAAAAGCTGCATACAAATAAGTACTACTAAAGAAGCACATAAGTTCCCTACGAGAAATAATTTTATATGTATAAATTCTGAAGACTTATACTTAACTGCGTACTGCGATCGTCGCACAACCGAATGTTCCATCAGATTCCACAGTTCAATTATAGGACTTAATTAAGAGCTTTTGATGAATCTTGACGAACAATTTTCACTTTTAATCATTTCAGCATTGTCTGCTAATTAATATCTTTACAAAAGCGCTGGATGAGTATTGGACGACTGTGATCAGAATAATGATATTTGAAACAATAAGTGTATTAAGAAATGAGGAGCTTTAAATAAAACAATAATTATCCTAATCTTGTAGGTTGAATTCAGAGTTATAATTCTTTATATCCAGCAACAGAGTCCAATATGCACACACATAGATATTAGGTAAAAATTGAAATTTATTACTTTATCGTGGCAGACTGCGCATCCTATGCTATCGTAATCCTCTTGGTTGTTGATAGTATTCTTCTTCTAATCTTTTTAGACTTCATTCTTTAAATTGACTCGTAGTCCATGAGCTTGTAATATCTTCACGAGTGAGTAAAGACTATATACGTATTTTAGGCTATTGATACACACTCGTTCAGGGGTGGGGGTTGTGCTCCGACAAGCTCACTCACTCTCGGTGAAAAGGAACGAAAGAATTGCTTAATACAAGTTTTCTGACTTTTCTGTGAGGCCTTAGTGTACCCCGGTTGAGCCGGTCCATTGTGTCGAAGTATGGCTCTCTCATGATTATATAAGTATTTAATTATGACGTAGGTATTTATTGAAAGTGTCTATGACTAGTTTTAGAAATCTATCTTAAAGTAGAAGGTTATAAATAATCGTTTCAGTACTGTATAATTGGGCTATCTGGATCACAGGAGATCCAGATGTCCACTTTGTACTTCTTGAGAAGTGATTTTAAGTTATTGAGAACTGATTTCTATTCTCTTAAAAACTTTTCTTTTCAAAGTATTTTTCATACCTATATCTAGAGAACTAATGTTGTTTTTCATAAAACTTCAACAATCAAAGATTTTTGTCCCATCATTCAATTTACTTCTCGAGAAATGTTATTTTTATTCTCTCAATAACATTTTTTTGTCCCTATCATTCAAAAATTAAAAGACTACTTACTAACACCTTACGATTTTTTGTTATGGATAACTGTTTTTGTATTCTTTTAATGACTTTATTTCCTTAACAAGGTGTAAAAATTTGGTCCGGAACACTGATTGATACGTATACTGAATATTGAATCCTTTGCTTGCGTTTGGCTTTAGTTATTCACAGTGCAATTCTATTAGGTATTTACATATCATAAGGTACCCAGTGTTACAAAATATAATAGTATTCGAGACTTCAAAAAATGAAACACAACACGCGAAAAAACAATCCCGTGCTGCGACCCTGCCCCCTTGACGATGTCCAGCTGGAGTGCCTCCATGGTGCCAAAGCCAGTACGTGGAGCATTCAGCCTGGGACGACCCCCCCTTTAAATCCCATGGGAGAGTTCCGCCACCACCCTCTGAGGGCGCCTTATTCTGGGCGGGCAGCCTCATTATTCGTAGGTATCAAAGTAGGCCTAAGCAAAGAAGTAGTGGTTATTACGTAATATTAACCCTAGATGTCAACCCTAAACATATCTATAGAAATAAAGCATTGTTTATATTGTGTAAGTATAAGCATACTTACTTAAAATTTCTTTTTATGTTTGGCATTTATTTTTTCTTTTTTTTTTAATTCTGCGCGCGCGCCTTTATGCTCGTGCCTACTTTGCCTTAGGGATAATTCGCCACTGCAGATAGTCCAATTCTACACTACTCGTTACCACCATTTTGTCAAATAAGACCTATGTGAGTATTACTTTGTCACTTGGCAATTATACTAAATAAGATAATCAAAAGTAGTACAATAAGTTTACGATAAATAATTATTCTTTGTCTTATAAATTGAGTTTAGTCATTCAACGGACCGTTGTGTTGGCAAAATGCTTTATGAATAATTATTTGATTAGCCATTCATTGTGCTCATCTCTGTTATTAATAAACGGTAATTGTATTCATTGCAATTTAATAAGTCTCGCAAAAATAAATATACCGACAATACAATGGCATCCCTAAATATATGTGTGTTATGATTTTTTAATCCCGACGATTAACGTTGGAAGTTTTTTTGGAACATTAAGGTTTTAAATGGTTATTTAGTTTTTTAACTCAAATATTGATTACGGAGGTAAGTTAAGGCTGTGTACTCATTTTTTACAACCCATAACATGCACCCACTAATACTCGTAATTTATAATATACCAAGGTATGTAGTTACAGAGTCTTCCTATAAGTTTATTTACTTACAAGCGCTGTATTGTGTTTTTAATTAACAAAGCATAGTAACAAGGTAATTATTTGCCTATTTATTCTATTATCTAACACGGAAAATGTACTCCTCCTCTTATAGACTTATTTCCTTTTGGTTTTCTAGGAATATAAATAGATGATGTATTCATTGGGTTTAGCTTCTTAGTACCTATCTAGTCGCCAAATTGCCCACGCAGACATTCTATCGTGGTAGACGCGTAAACCATTCGAGGACTCGG